TGGCGGGGAGTTCTAAATCTACAGACGAACTCCACGACTGTTTCAATTGATATTAAGTGCGCCCTCTGTAGCCAATTATGAGAAAGTCGAATTTAAATGCCCTTTGACCTGGGACGCTGCCTAATAATTTATTCTTGGCGCGCACTTTGTGACCCTTGAACTGTTTCGAAAGTGATGTTTATTGTCGGTTATTCACGATCTAGCTCCAGCCGGCCGTATTATAATAATATAGGGGATATGTATCACACAGCAGGGGCGCGCCGGGCAGAGTTGAACGGACACGACGGAGCATACGGCATCATTCTTTAAGTATTTTTAAGCAATATAAGTAAAGTAATTTGATTCTAGTACGGGGGAAGTAATTAAGGCTCTTTAAGGAATTTTGGTGGATTTGGACACAAGTAAATAATTGAGCTCGGAATACGTAGTCACGCCTGAAGCCCTGATCTGGACCAAAGTAAGCATAAGGCCTAGCCTAGTTGAAGTTGCATTATAGGCCTGTGCTTAGTAATAAGGACACCTCCATTGCTTAACAGAGTATCTAAGTGAACTATTTAGATGTTTCCACACAAAAAAAGTTAATTTCCCTGCTTGCATTGTAGCCAACTGTCCATACAAATTTTTTTCTACTGTTAGTATACATATGCCTTATTAGTGGAGCAAGGTCCTAAACTACACGATTACCGTGTTATAAATAGGCTAGGCCTAACCATGTAGTCACTTATGTTGTAAAGAGGGTCTAGCCTTTTTTTCTTTCTTGGAGAAGACTTGGAGGGAAAATGTGAAATTGCTGCCAACAGGGCCCGGCCAGAATGTACTACAAACAAGACGATAAAGGCCTTTGTACATACAACAAAGATCCTCAGTAATCATTGGACATCAGCGAATTTAATGCATAGTTCTGCAATTTGCTGAGTAGGTGTAAGCTCAGTCATTGATTGCAAATCTTGACCCACTAATCATACATCAGTTATATAACAGTAAGTTTTATTGTATTACAGATCATGGATGTTCTTGTCCTGTGGTCTGATGGCAGCAGGAATGTTGTTAATTCAACTCATCTTAAATACAGACCACCACTTTAAGTAAACCAGAATGTGAAGATGAAGTGGGGGAAGATGTGGTGGAGAGGCAAAGTTGTTGACTTTAAGGAGAGAGCAAGTAAGTACAACATTGATAACAACCGAACAACAGTAGTGAACATATACTGCTGGTTGGTGCGTTTTGGTGAAATATCTTTTTTTTCGGATCAAGAAAGGACATTTCTTATCCCCGAGATAATGGTGCATTGGTAGCTGATAGTACTCGTTTAAAAATTACATTATGTTGCATACTACATGTAATCTTTATAACTCACACTTGTTTACTTTGTGTAATTAATCTGTTTGTTCACACCTGTAGCCTCCGCGCTACAGATCATCAAAATAAAACAAATGTTTCTCCTCAATGAGATGCACCGATGACGTTTCTGCAATGACTGCTCCCTGGTAGTCATTCGATTTCTGTTTGTCAGTTTCATCCGTCAGCGATGTGTGACAAGATACAGAACTGGCCCTTCAACGCTCGTAAGGAAAGAGAAGAGGACCAGATGCAGAAAACTCTTCAGTACCAGGATTCTGTCAGCCAGATCGGGAGACAACGCTCGAGACCAGCAAGTGTTGTCACGAACGTTTCCAGTGCATCCAGTGCGAAACTTCATGCAGCGCTGAGAGAGTAGCTTTGAAAGCTGATTTTGCAGTTGAAAAACAAAGACAGGCTCTCGAGGAAGAGGAGCTGAAACTACGCCAACGGCGCAGACAGATGGAGTTGGAAACCCAAATCGCAAAGGTTGCCGCCATGGAGAAAACTTACGCTGATTTCGAGATACTTGAAGCGAACTCGGTGCAGGTGAAATATTCCACTCCACACATTCAGCCAGTCAACATTCATTGCGGAACACGTGGTCCAGTCTCAAAACACCGTTGGAAATGGAGACATTCATCCGGCTTGTAAGTCAGCTGACATATCATCTCCCATTACCGACAACACATAAATTGGAGACGTCTTGACACAGATGTTGAACAACAGTCAACTCCAGCAGCAGTCGCTGGTAGAAACACTGCAGTTGCCAAAAACAGAACTCATGACATTCAATGGCGATGCTGTTGAATACTGTGTATTCATTCGTGCATTTGAGAATGCCGTCGACAAGGACTCAGTCAGTGATGCGGCCAAGCTAGCTCGCCTGCAGCAGTACTGCACTGGATCAGCCAACAAAACTCATTCAGTGTTGTGCGGTAAAGCCACCGGGTGAGGGCTATGCGCTGGCTAGGAAACTACTCAAGAACAGTTTCGGGAATGAGTACGACATCTCAGAAGCGTGGGTGAATAAAATAATCTCTCGTCCTGACATCCATGACATCAAGGCGCTGCTCGACTTTTCCGACGAGAAGAAGCTTGGCTCAGATTGTTGGGAAACTGCCGTGGGACCTCCAGAGACCTGGCTCAAAAGGGTTCACCACATCAAGACTGTCGAGAGCAGACTCCCTACCATCGACGACATCATGAAGTTTGTGTCAACTTCAGCCGAACAAGCCAATGATCCCGTGTTTGGTAGCTCGTGACCAAGGATCATGCCGGCAAGTTCCGCAAGGATGTCAGGCCAAATCCCACGCCATTCGAGACAGCGATCCAACTTCGCTGCTCAAGTACAGCCGACACCCTCCTACAAGCCAACGAGTGTGACACCCCAAAGCTCAGTCGTGCCAGAAGCGACAAGATCAAGTTCCAGAACCAACAAACCACTGTGTCCATGTGCATATTGTGGACAGGGACACGGACTGTTCAACTGCGACACCTGGAAAGCACTGCGAGTCAAGGACAGGTTGAATTTCGTGCAGAGTAAGCGACTCTGCGTGAATTGCCTTCAGCCAGGACATCCTGCCAGAGACTGTAGCAGAAACACCGCGTGCACTGTTCCTTGATGCGGGCTGAAACACACCAAGTTTCTACATCTCATCCGCACTGGGAACACTCCGACATCCACTGGTGCCAACCCTGCCTACTAGACAAACCAGCCAGGGAGTGACACCAAACCCGTCATTGAAGTTCACCGTCCAACTGCAAGTGCTTCAACCAACGTGACCTGTAGCACCACTGGGGCTGGGGTAGGAAAGGTGGCATTACCCGTCGTACTTGTAAAAGTGAGAGGTCATCGAAGCTCTGCCGATTTCATCACCACTTACGCCTTGCTTGACAGTGGCTCCACTCAGACTTTTTGTTCTGAGAAGTTGCTCCAAGGGCTAGGAGTCTTTGGAAAGCCTGACATCATGAGACTTAATACTCTCGACAACCATGACACCATCGCTGACACCCATATTGTAGAGCTTGAAGTCACAGATGTGAGTGATGAGAATCTCGTCGTCATGTCGCATGTCATGACAAGGCCAAGGCTCCACATCGACTTGAAGAACCTTGTCACCCAAGATGAACTGAACCAGTGGCCACACCTGTCTGGCATCACTTTGCCGGACATTGACATCGGGGAGGTCAACCTTCTCATAGGCCAAGACAACCCTAGTGCTCTCATTCCTAAGGAAGTTCGTGAGGGCGGTGAAGGAGCACCCTACGCTACCAGGACCATTCTGGGCTGGACTCTAAATGGACCATTTGCATCAGGGCCCTTAAGCTGCTGAACGTCTCTCTTCATCTACGCCGATGACACACTGCAACGACAAGTGGAAAAGTTTTGGAAATTAGATGACACAGGCAGTGGGACGAGTTTGTCCATTAGCGACAAGAAGGTAGTCACTACCTGGGAGGAGTCACTATCCCGAGATGGAGGGCACTACAGTATGGACATTCCCTTTAAACAAAGACCGCCATACCTACCTTACAACAAGGCCATTGCAGAACACCGGCTGCGTCTGCTCGGTAGACGACTCGTGCGTGACGATGACGTGAAGGAGAAGTACTCTGCAGGTGTTGCTGATTTGCTTGCCAAGGGATATGCAGAGGAAGTGCCTCAGGAACAACTAGGCCGAGCAGATGGATCCGTGTGGTACCTACCTCATCATCCAGTGGTTCATCCCCGGAAGCCAGGAAAGATCCGCATCGTCTTTGACTGTGCTGCCAAATACCGTGGTGTGTCACTCAACGACAAAGGGCACCAGGGACCTGACTTGACAAACAAGCTCGTTGGGGTTCTGCTTCGATTCCGAGAGGAGAGGGTTGCACCAAGTCCATGTCAACCAGCCCGATCGGGACGTTCTTCGTTTCCTGTGGTGGAAAGATGACAACATTGCCGAATGCACAAAGACGTACCCGATGACATCCCACCTGTTTGGCGGATTATGGTCCCCCAGTTGTGCCAACTTCGCTTTGAAGCGCACGACACAAGATAACATAAACAACTTCGCTTGGAGCTCTCGGCCGCAGTTGTCTCAGTCAAGCTGGACGAGATGATGCATCAGCATCTGACACTTCCTCTTCAGGACACGGTATACTGGAGTGACAGTATGATTGTTCTTCAGTATCTGAGGAATGAGGACAAGAGGTACCAAACCTTTGTTGCCAATCGCGTCACAAGAATTCTGGAGCATTCAACCCCACAACAGTAGCGACACGTTGACAGTAGCTCCAATCCAGGAGATGATGTTTCACGTTGCCTAACTGCACGTGAGCTGGTTGTAAGTGACCGTTGGCTGTCTGGACCACATTTTCTATGCCACCAGGAAGACTCTTGGTCCCCTCAGCCTGACTTTGACAAGATGACACCATCCAAGGACTTGGAGCTCAAGGCGGTTGTCTAGGTATACAAGGCTGAAACTACCAAAGAAACACCTGATGTTTTGGACACCCTACTGGGAGGAGTCTCTTCTTGGTACCGCTTGAAGAGAGCAGTGGCCTGGATCCTGCCGGTGAAGTCTGTCCTTCTCGCCAAGGTTAGGAAGACCGATGTCGAGTTTAAGCCATCCCAGCCACTGACGGTCGATGAAATCAAAGCGTCAGAGAAGGAAATCATGAAGCATGTCCAGGATACCAACTTTGATGACACACTACTGAAGTCTGGTGGTTACTGCAAGCTGTCGCCGACCAAGTCCAGTGATGCGCTCATTCAGGTTGGTGGACGTCTTACCAATGCCACTCTAGCAGACAATGCGAAGCACCCTTGGATACTACCAACGAGACATCCCGTGACGACACTGATAATCAGACACTACCATGCCACAACGGGTCATTCCGGAAGTGAACGCACTCTCGCTGAGATTCGCCAGAAATGTTGGATTATCAGAGGGCGTGCTTCCGTCAAGAGCATCATTCACACATGCATCCCATGTCGTAAAAGGAAGGCACCTACCATGACACAGCGAATGGCAGACCTGCCGAAGGACCGCGTAACTCCAGGACTTGCACCCTTCAGCATGAATGGCGTCGATTTCTTCGGTTCATTTATGATCAAGCGAACCAGGAGTGAATTGAAGAGGTATGGATGTATCTTTACTTGCCTTGCTACAAGGGCAGTTCATCTGGAGGTTTGCCACAATTTAGAGACTAGCTCATTCATCAACGCCCTGCAGCGTTTCATCAGACGCCGGGAGATCCGCTCAGACAATGGCACCAACCTGGTCGGAGGGATGCCAGAACTAGGTCAAGCCATCCAAGATTGGAACCATGACAAGATTGACAACATCTGTGCCAGAAGGAGATTCAATGGGTCTTCAACCCCCCTGCAGCTAGCCACTTCGGCGGTGTGTGGGAGAGGCAAATTAGGACTGTACGTGCAGTTCTCAACAGCTTGCTCAATCAGCAAACACTCGATGATGAAGGGCTCCTGACGCTCATGTACATCGTTGAAGGTATTGTCAACAGCCGACCTATTTCTAAGCTCTCAGAAGATCCACGAGATCCGATGCCACTCACGCCAAATCACCTCTTGCTTCTTCGATCTGGCCCTGAACTTCCTCCAGGTAACTTTGTGAAACAAGACATCTACAAGCAGCGATGGCGCTAGGTCCAGTATATGGCAGACATATTCTGGCAGCGTTGGCTCAAGGAGTATCTGCCATCCCTGCAACACCGACAAAAGTGGCTCAATCCGCAACGCAATGTTCGCGTCGGAGACCTCGTGCTTGTGAAGTATGAGAATGCACCACGATGCCAGTGGCCTCTAGGACTGGTGACGGACACCTACCCAGGCAAGGACAAGCAATTCAGATCTGTTCAGGTGAAAACACAGTCAGGAGTATACGACAGACCAGTGGACAAGTTGTGTCTCCTGGAAGGAGAGGAGATGGGACTCTAAAGACTGCATCAATGAGATAAAGTTCTGCAAAGGACACTATTGAACATTGCCAAATAGCAACTTTCATTTGGATATATTCGGATATTCTGTTGCTTTGTATATTTTGGTAATTCCCAGTTAGGTCATTAGGGGCCGGGATGTAGCGGCCAGAATATCCTTTCGCATTTGTTTGCTTTGCGCGAGTGCAGCGACTCGCTTGTTGTGCATTAATCTTTTCTAGTCTCCAGAGGGCGCTGTTTGGCGCGGATCACCTTTTTATCTCGCCTTATTTCGACAAGTTAACAATAGATATTCAGAGACAAATTGCCATTATTTTGCCATTAATTTTGTAAGACTTTGTCAGCTCAGCAAAGTGAGTATCTGTCTTTATTTGAAGATAAGATATAGCCATTTATTGATTAAGTTTATTTCGATAGAGGTCATATAATTAGGAGTTTTTTGGTTACAAATACTTCCATGTGGGTAGGACGCTTCGACCCTTTGAGTGGATGAGGGCGCTGTTCATGTAGTTCCTGTCGCTTGTTTATGGCATTGTTTGGACTGGTTTTTTGGAGTTAAAGTTATATAAGTGTCCATAACAAAAGATATATGGATAGATGTGTACATGTACATGTAATAGTAGGACAGGGTTGACACAGACATAGGATTTGGATACATTATTTGTTATTTTATTTCTCTTTGTATTTATTTAGTCGAACCACCAACCACCACTATCAGTATCACCAACCACCACTATCACTAAACGCCACTGTCAACGTAGAATCACCACCGTTACACCAGATTACACCAAGTTATTTACGGCAATTTATTTCAAGTCACCGAACATTGTCATCTATTTTGTCACTCGCCACCAAGTCACAGTATTATTGATTTAGCCACCAAACTGCCATCTTAACTGTCAGTGTCACCCCAATTATTGAAGTTTGCCACTCCTGACATTAAAGTCCTCGTTCCTGTTGAATTTACATCTTGTCATCGGTGCGTCTCATTGCTGAGAAACATTTTTTTTATTTTGACGATCTGTAGCGCGGAGGCTACAACACCCATGTATTGGTTTTCCCCTAAAGCAAACGGAGAAGATGAAGACAGCGGCAGCACATATCAACAAGATGGAGATAGCGACAGCACAGATGAACTGCCTCTTAGTAGATTGGTCACAGTAACAAAATGTAAGTTTCCTCAGTCATAAACGTAGATGCTTTAATCCTCATAATTATCCTCAGGATTTTTTTAAAACTATAACTCTCAGATCGGTGGCGGCTCTACGGGGGGAGGGGGGAATTTCATAAAAAAAATGTAAGACTTTCCAAAATGTAAGAATTTGACCTAGGCCTACATGGGAACGGTCTCCCCCTAAATGAGAAGGGTGCATTTGTACACTTTTAATTAATTTAGTGTGCCTGATTGTAGGATTTTATCAGCGCTCCCCATTGAAAATATGACACGAGCCTCTCCCCCCCCCTCCCCCCCCCCCCCCCCCCCCCGTTGATATTCAGAGGCCTAAGTGCCTGGAGAAAATAACCGGTCTACATTTCAGCGTGCCTCCCTGAAAAAAAATTGTGGATCAACCTTGCTAGCCCCCGAAAAGCTCTAGAACCGCGCCTCTCTCATATAAAAGTGTATCAATCCAATTTTGTTACCTTCAACCAAAGCCTTGTTTAACTTAAATATTTTTTTCTTTTCTCGTACATGACTTCAGGCAAGCCCCATGTTCATAGGAAAAAAAATAAAATAGAAAACCTTACTCACTGTATGACAGAAAAGGGGGTCTACCTGATGTTTCCCAATACCTATCTATGTTCAGGCTTAGGGTGTATATGCACCCACAGAGAAATGTATGCAAGAATATTTATATGGAAACTATAACAAATAAATCTGTATATATTAATTTGCTAATATTTTATACACCTTAATTAGTCAGGCCTACCATTTTATGATATTCTTGACTTATTTTGCCTTCATTATTTACAGGTGCAAGTACTGGTGTGGTTACCCCATTCACCAGTACCGGTATTCAAGAGTTAACTCCACTCACTGATGCTAATAGTCCAGCGGGTACCTCTTGCACCATCACCAGTAAACCAGTTGTTACCCCACGCCCCAGTGCCGGTACTCCAGTGGTTACCGAATTCAACGGTACTCCTGTGGTTACCCCATTCACCAGTGTCAGTATTCCTGTGCTTACCCCATTCACCGGTGCCAGTTCTCCTGCGGTTACCCCATTCACCATTGCCAGTACTCCTGTGGTTACCCCATTCACCATTGCCAGTACTCCTGTGGTTACCCCATTCACCGGTGCCAGTACTCCTGTGGTTACCCCATTCACCATTGCCAGTACTCCTGTGGTTACCCCATTCACCGGTGCCAGTACTCCTGCGGTTACCCCATTCACCATTGCCAGTACTCCTGTGGTTACCCCATTCACCGGTGCCAGTATTCCTGTGCTTACCCCATTCACCATTGCCAGTACTCCTGTGGTAAACCCATTCACCGGTGCCAGTACTCCTGTGGTTACCCCATTGACCATTGCCAATACTCCTGTGGTTACCCCATTCAACGGTGCCAGTACTCCTGTGCTTACCCCATTCACCATTGCCAGTACTCCTGTGGTTACCCCATTCACCAATGCCAGTACTCCTGTGGTTACTCCATTCACCGGTGCCAGTACTCCTGTGGTTACCCCATTGACCGGTGCCAGTACTCCTGTGCTTACCCCATTCACCATTGCCAGTACTCCTGTGGTAACCCCATTCACCGGTGCCAGTACTCCTGTGGTTACCCCATTCACCATTGCCAGTACTCCTGTGGTTACCCCATTCACCGGTGCCAGTACTCCAGTGGTCAACCAGTTTCCTGGTTTTTCACAATCAACTTATAGTCCCCTTCCAGGTGAGGTAAAAGTCTGTCATTTTCAGAATTCCCATTTGAGATTCAAATATTATGCCTTGTTGCCACTGCTGATTTTTTTTTAAAGCAATGTGATTTTATTAGTTATATTTGTATTCCTGCAGCCTCAAGATCAGACATTGTAAGATCAAAACCTGCAGATGTGCATGGGACAGCTCAGCAACAGGAGAGCTCAAATTTCAGCTGCCATGATGAGATATTTGCTGCATGTAGTACCTGTTCATGTCTCTTTATTTTTTAACACTTTGTAAGCTCAACCTGCTGTGAAACACACAATGCATATTGAGCCAATTTGTCTAATGCTAGTAAGGGGACAAACATATATCGCACTAAAGAACAAGCATTGCATGAAACAAATGTGTTTTCTGATGATATGCATGATGATTTGTTGAACACACCTGTAGGTCGTTCTAATGTTGAAACAAATCATCCACATTGAATATCAGGATTTGTATTTCAAGACCCTGAAAGTTTTGAGGTCGAAAGGGGACCTCAATGGAAATCAGTGAGGCAACAGAAATGACAAGAAAGCCATCTTGTCAAGCCAAAAATAAAACAGTGAAGCAACAGAGAAACAAAGGAGAAGGCTACTTTACAGAGAAGACACATAGATTCAAGGAAGCGTGAAAAACAAAACATGGGTCGAGGTGTAATTCATTGTTTTGCAGTGTAAAAAAACTTTGGGTGTGATCAATTTTCGGAAGAAGACCAACTCGTCATCAGAAGTGCATATTATTCTATCAGTAGATTACAGGCGCAAAGAGAATGGATTGCGCGACACATTGAAATAACACCCTCAACGAGCAGTACTCCGAAGAAGAGGGTCACACGTTTTTACCTTCCTGTGCAGACAACTGATATGGAAATATCAGACCGCCAGGTTAGAACAGTTGTAAATAAACTTGGACCGTGTAACATTCTTAAAGCAGATAAAAGAGGACGGAGGCAATCCCCTAAGGCCAAAGATCAATTTCTTAAAAACGAAGTTGAATCTCATATCAAGAGATTTTTAAACACAGAGTCTCATTATTGTCGTCAACCCACAACATTTCAGTATCTGTCAAGTGATCTGAACATACACAAAATGTATGAGTTGTACCTGGCAGAAAAGCCAAAGGGAAGAGCTTAAGTTGCTATGCCAACACGCTGCATAACATGAAACTCAAGTTTCACAAGCCCAAAAAAGATCTATGCGGGATATTTGAAATTTATCACAAGGGCAATGAGGATGAAAAAAAAAAAACAAGCTCAATGAGGAATATACAGGGCACAGGCAAGAAAAATGTGCTGTGAGAGAAATCCAAAACCCCCCAAAAATACAGGCTGTCTCAAATCAAAAAAAAAAAAATACAAGCATCGGTATACGACCTCCTGTTAACAGGTAATTTACCTTCCTAAATCTGGCGGATGATCACTATTCTATAAACGAAGACTTTCCTGCTATGATTTTACAGTGTACGAACTTGGCACTTGATCTGGATATTGCTTCCTTCATCATGAAGGACTCGCCAGACGCGGTGCCAACGAAATTGCATCAAATTTGTACACATATCTATCAATACTAGACAAACAAGGAGAAGAAAAAGTTACACTTTTCAGTGATGGGTGCATAGGACAAAATAAGAACTCTATCTTACCAGCCATGCTAATGTACTTTGTTCAGGAGTCTTTCTCGGTAGCCCAAGTTACACTGTATTACTTTGAGACCAATCATGGTCAAAGCGAGGGGAAATCGATTCATAGCACAATTGAGCAGGCCCTAAAGGGTGGATCTGTTCCTTCCCTGTCAACTAGCAACATTGATTCACGGTGCGAGAAAGGATCCTGAAAAGTACAAACACATGACATTCGTGATTGGAAGGCACTAAGTCAAACGATGCATATTTTGAGAGTGCGTACTACTGTAGAGGGGAAGAGGGTCGATTGGAAAAGGGTAATGCAAATTGAAGTTAGGAAAGATAGACCCAAAACGATCATGGTGAAATGTTCACACTTGGAGGACATCTTTGACACAATTAATTTGGAAGAGAGAAACTCAAGGCATGTCTTTCATAGTCTCGTGGAATATCCCACCTCGGCCTATGTTAAAGGACCGCCAAAACTTGCTGAGGGTAAATACAATGACCTGATGAGTCTGTTTGAGGGCCGAACTCCGGTGATATACCACCTAGATCACATTCCTTTCTACCGAAATCTACCTCATTGAAACTTTGTGAATTTGTAGCGCATGCAGTTAAAGGGAATGTACAACATTTGATTGTGCTGCAATTTTCAGAAATAAATGGATTTGGAGGATTAATATGTTATGGCAAATATTGTTGAACTGACTTGTTTCACGTTTTGGGCTTGAAGATGCTGGAAAAACCCAGAAACCCAATCATGTTCTTGTAGTCTGGTTCCCTGACCCACTTAAAATGAAACAGAGCAATTTATAGACTTTGGGAATTGTAAGGTTTTCTCTAGCAGGCTTGTACCCCTTCACATGTGTAATCAATTGCAAAACAAATGCGAAACACCTTAATATGAGAAATTCGGAGCACTTTACAAAAAAAGCAAGTTTTCTCCAACGCTGGTCAGCCGACCAGCGTTGGAAAAATGCCAATTTTGTTTAAAATGTCAGCACACCAGGAGCCACGATTTTACAAGATGCTTTGGACTGTCATCATTCCCTAACAATCCAGTACAATGGTCTTTCGTGATAATTCGATCATTTAGTTTTTTGATGTTTGCAAATGCTGTATATCTTCCCTTAAAATTAAAAACTGTCAACAGATATTCCTCCAAGTGTAAAAATTTATGATATTGTAAATCAGCAAGTTTGTTTGTATTCATGTAGTGAGTTACACTACAAAAACAATTCATCATTCTTTATGTATTGTGTACTAATCAAATTTCAATCAATATTACATGTGACATTTCACTTCTAAATATTAAAATAATTTGTCCATTAATATTATGTAAAATGTTGAACAAATCCCATAACTGACAAAAATCATTGACTTAAAAAAAAAAACTCAAAAGGCAGTGTTGTCGAGTTCATGATAAATCTATCCAAAGTCCTTCAAAAGTCGTATAATCAAGTCACAAACTAGAAATTAATGTGGCCTGACTTTGCGAACTTAGCAAGTTCTTCTTCAGAGGCTTAAACAAAAATGACAGAGGTACATACATTAACATGGGGGTGCACACAAACATGCAGGGCTGCACAAAAGGAGGATTAGGTGGGAAAGGTGTGGAAAGATGCAGGGGAGGGTGGATGAGAGAACAAAGAAACAAAGGGAGATGGCAAACCACAAGGGGTCTGGTATAAACAGGAGAGGGACCAGAAAGGGGAAGGCTCAAATGTCACAGGGAGTGGGAACGGACAAAAGAGTGTGAGAGTGAAGGGGGGTGATGCGGGGGGGGGGGCAGTATAGAGGTGGAAAGGGATGAAAGATGGGGGAAGACGGGTAAACACAAACAGGAAGACCAGGTGGATTTTCTGTAACAGAAGACAATGGAGGAAGAAACGGATTAATCATTTGCAAGTTGGATGTTGAAACCATGTGGTTAAATAGTTCGAAGACGATTCATCCACACTTGCTCTCTGCTGAGACAAACTGAGTCCTTGCGATGGCCAAGAGATTCAAGAGTCACAAACTATCCAAAATGAACTGTTGCAGAGGGGTACCGGTATATGAATCCCGTTGCTTGTGACAGCTTATGAACTCAACTACAGAACTGAGTACAGATCTTTAAAAAAAAAATCATTCGAGCAACGGCTCATTATAAAATGGTACAGTATATGTTTAGCCAAAATTTACATTATGATGAAACACTTTCGATAGTATCCAGATTTCTATAATGGTGGATGAATTGCGATTGATGCTGGTATGCTGAATGTATCACTATAAAGTTAAATTGATGCATAATTATTATACAAATTCCCCGCATACTATGGCCTTCTTTCTCTGAATTTAATTCCCATCAACTTTAGCATATCTAAAGTTAGTTGTACATGTATAAAAGATCGTGAATTTTTATTTGCGAATATTTCACAGTTCAGAGCTTCATATAGATGTCGCGAAATAATTAATTGAATTTTAAAACTTCTTAAAGTGGACCAATGAAAAAAAAAAAAAATTGCAAGAAATCCATTATTTGTTGCATAAAATATTCTCCGCATAATATGGCCTACTTTTTCGTAAATAAATATTAATTCTCATCAACTTCATCAAAGCATATCTAATTTCAGTGGTATAAAAGATCGTGAATATTTATTAACGAATTTTTAGTTCAGAGTTTCATCTTTAGATTGCAAAAAAAATATTTGAATATTTAAACTACCTTCAATGGTACAAATTAAAAAAAAATGAATTGCAAGAAATTCATTATTTGGAGAAACGAAATCAAGGTGCACGTGATACATAAGTTATCTTCCCTGTTTAGTAAAGAGAGCTAGGGTGAAGGTACGTTGGATAATAAAATCACAGTCCACAGAGGTATTAATAGTGTTAAGTGAAATTTTTAATTGTACATTGGCACCACTTGTATCTACATATTGTTGTAAAATTGATGTTTATGCATATTGCACTTTATTGAACATTTTATTAAGACGTTTACTTTGATGTTGCAAACTAATGAATTGGATTTTCATGTTCATGATAATAAATTACAATTTTGATGGAATGGAAATGAATTTTTTAAACGGTATAATTTTTCCCCTGTTTGTTACATCATGTTTGTAGACGAGTTGACTTGCTTGTTCATATTGTTGTTCAAACTGTATCAAATTATAATTGAACTGTTTATTTTGCCATATTTATTGAGTATGACAAAGAAATATAGTACCGAAGAAACAAATACGCAAAAAAGTAATTTTGGAGCCTATCATTGGGGTTTACATAAAAAAAAAAAAAATTTAACTAAACTTTAATTGGTTGCAATTGTCCTTCGGTATATCGATGCTCAACACCACTGTCTTACCATATATACTTTGACAAAAGCCCTTCTTTACATCAGGCTGATCAATTCTGAGCAAAAATTCCAATGAAATAATGAACTATATTTCGATAGCGGAAACTAGCACCGCGCATGCGCACAAGAGATAAGTCACAATCGGTCCCGTAATAAATGAACATTTCCG